CCGGACACTTCATTGTTGAATTTGCTCTCCGAGCCCCGAGCCCGACCCAAAAAAACTTGTCGCCTGTCCGTTTCAGCACTACAGCCCGCCTGTTTCTGTCTTAAGCGCCTTCCAGCTGTGACGAGAAGAAATTACGAGAATCCCCGCCTGACGCTCCCGAGTTTCAACGGAGCATTCATTCACTTCCACTTTTTCCGTGTGTCGGCTACCTGCCTCAAGCGGCGGCATACCAAGTAACACTAAACCACTGGCAGAGACTACCACTGGTGAGGTAGGCAACCACATAGGTACATGCTGTAGTTCTTGCTTTGCCAGGCCAGTGGCGATGCAGCTGGGAGTTCTATTCGCGGAGGTCGCAGGGAGTCGAGGCATTCATCAAATGATGGCGCCTTGGGCTTTGGGTACACATTGCGCGGTGGGGTTACTTTGGCATGCAACGCCTTCTGATATCACTTCACTTACGGAGACCTTGCCGCGCTGGTCAAATGAGCCCACCATTTTGCTGGCAACACTTCACGTTTACTAAGTAATATTAAAAGGATATGAAGCTGCAGTTTTATTCGGTATTGTTTGCGCTTCGCCAACAGGCTCTGTTGGCGCAACATGACACTCGGAAAATGCACTACCCGCAGCGCTCTCTTTTCAGCATGCTTGAACTCGCGCCTTTTGACTAGCATCGTGGAGATTCACGAAAACCCTAACGTGTTTTTGTCATCAGTACGTGAATCGTGCTCGCTCAGTTTTTGTCCGTTTGTGTGAGCGGCAGGGGTGTCACAATCAAAAAGCGCGGGAGCTCCACCAGCAACGATGACGACCGACGAGCCGCAGAAGCCCGAGACGGAGCTGACCGTAGATGCGCAGGCCGAGGCGATCAACCAGGCTCCCGCCTCCGGGTCCTCGGTCACGTCCACAAGCCTGGGAGGCCGCGTACGCAAGAGCACGCAGACGTTTACGTTCACACAGGCCAAGAGTGACGAGCCGGAGGAGTTTTCGCCTCCAGTAGGCAAGGGCGTCAAAGTACGAGAAATGGAGTTTGTCAAGAACAATGTAAGTCAACCCAATGTACAATGTTTAGTCCAGTTTGCAGTACTGTAATGGACTGATTGGTTGGTTGCTGCAGGTCGAGGCTTTGGGCAAGAAGCAGCACGACATGATCAAGCAGCTCTACAGCATCATGTATGGCCGTCGCTTCCAGCAGAAGAACGTACGCGAATAGGTGAATTAGAAGAGGTGAATTTTGTGTGAAGCTCACGAGGGCTTTGATGATTGGTACCGGTACAGGTGAAATTGATCAAGGAGCACATTCTGGACTTCTCAGGCATCATTGAGCAGGACGAGAAGGTGTGTGGCTACTGTAGGAGATAGAAAGATTGTTGAAGTGGTGGTCTGATTGATAATTATGATTGTTGCAGTCGCGGGAGCACCTTGTTGCCAAGATGGGCAAGTGGAAACTCATTTTCGTCCACGAAGTGATGGATCTGCTGGCGGTATGGACGGCAATCTAGCAGCTCATATCTTGTAGCAGTGTTAGTGCTAATGTTTGTTGCGTTTTGCTTACAGGTGGATCGCTCTAAGAAATCTTTTGACGAGGAAGAGAAACCGCACAACAAGGAAGCGCTGCTTGACCGGTTGGTGGACTGGCTGTACAACCCGCAAGTGACAAAGGTGCGAATGCGATGCGTTGGTCGAGTATTATCATTAAATTCTGTACTTTCGAAGTAATTAATATGTTGTCTGTTGGGTTTTGCTCGACAGCTTGGCGAAAAGAAGGCTGCGATTACTGCGAGGAAGGAGAAGGCCAAATCGAACAAGCGCGCGAAAAAGGCTAAAAACGCTAAAAAGAGCGACGGCGAGCCTGCGAAGAAGAAGCGGAAAACCACCAAGAAGAAAGCGGTTGCAGCTGACGAAGAGGAAGACGAGGAGGACGACCACGAAGGCACCGAGTCTGAAGGGGACGAATCATCCAGCGACTTTGAGGAAGCGAAAAAGGTTACCAAGAAAAGGAAAACCACTCGTCGGTCAAAGAAGTCGCGCGTGGTAGAAAGCGACAATGAGGAAGACAACGAAGATGACAATGAGAAGGTCGAATCTGCCGATAATGACGAGGAGCAGCCTGCTGCTGAGCCGGAGGAGGCCAATGCCGCTGACAAGGAAGAATCGAAGCCTGAGACGGAGACTCTGGGCGCCGATGTCTGCAGCAAGGTCAGGGATATCATCGCCCACGGTAACGCTGAAGAGCTGACAGTCAAGAAGGTAAGCGGGTTTTGTCTCAATTAGTTTCTGGACAAGAACTGATGGTGGCATGCTGCTCCATGATTGTGCAGATTGTACGGCAGCTGAGCGCGGACTTGGGTCGCGACATGTCGTCGCAGAAGAAGGCTATCAAGGAGTTCATCACGAACGACCAGGCGGAAATTTAGACTGCACTTTGAAGTTTTGTTCAATTCTTCACGGCAGCTACAGTAGTTCTATACGAATACTTGCTGCGTCCAAGCTTTTCATGACCCAGATCACACTTACGTGTGGCATGATAGCTTTTTGGATGCAGCTTGGTATTTTCTACAATTTAATGCCTTTTGATGTCTTTTTGCCTTATTTATTGTCCTTTATCACATCTGGTTTTGGTTCGTTTCAAATCAGCGGACACTTTTTGACGGCCTCCATCCATTTCGTGACAAGCAACACCATGGGCAAAAAGAGCAAAAGCAAGAGCACGCTGCTCGCCACCGCGGAGCCAACACAGCCTGCGTTGGAGCCTGAGGTGGTGGAGGCTGTAAAGGAGCAGGTAAAGAACCAGGACAAGTCCGCGCTGTTCGACGGCTTCGCTCAGAGCGCTGCGTTTTTCGGCAAAAAGGCTTCGTATGCGGTAGCGGTGGCGGATACGTTCAAGAAGGAGACGGAGACGTCTAAGGTGGCTGTGAGCGAAAAGGATAGAAAGAAGAAGGAGAAGAAGGAATCCAAGCAGAATAGAAAGAATCAAGAAAACGACGAGGAGGATGTTAAGGAGGATAAAGAGCAAGAGGACGACGATGAGACTGAAGTTGCGGAGACCAACGACGGTGATAAGAAGAAGAAGAAGAAAAAGAGCAAGAAGAAAACGACAGAAGGTGATGATCAGGCTGAAGAGGAGAAAGAACTCACGCCTGATGAACTCAAGGAGCGCCGCACAGTGTTCGTGGGCAATGTGTCGCTGGACGCCACACAGAAAGACATCAAGAAGCATTTTTCCGTGTGCGGTCAAGTTGAAAGCGTGCGTCTTCGACATCTTCCCATCGCCGGTTGTGCGGTGGGTGACGCGGGCAACCAGAAGCTCATGATGAAGGTCTGCGCCAACAAGAAAATCTTGACCACAGCTAAGGACAACTGCAACGCCTACGTGACGTTTGTGGAGGAGAGCAGTGCGGAAGCCGCGATCAAGCTCAACGGGACGGTGCGTTTTGTTAGATTTCGCAGTGAGCAAACCGAGTATATGTGCTAAGTGTTACTGATGCAAATGTTGCAGACTCTGGTCCAGATGAAGATCCGTGTGGACCGCTGCGAGCCTGTGATTGATGCGCGTCGCAGTGTCTTCATTGGAAATGTGCCGTTCAAGTGCACTGACGAGCAAATTTTTCAGTTCTTCTTGAAGCGCCTTAAATCCGATGACGAACCCGAGCCGATTGAGAACGTGCGTCTCATCCGCGACCGCGAGTCCGGTCTTGGCAAGGGATTTGGCTATCTGTTGCTGAAGACTCCTGCTCTTGTTGCCAAGACCCTGACGCTCCGTAATCTCAAGATGGAGACTCGCGAGCTTCGCGTGCAGGTGTGTGGCAAGCGCTTTAAGAACTTGCGTGGTGAGGAGACTACCAAGGAGAAATTTGAGGGTCTTCGTGCCTCTGCTGGTGCTCGGGCGCGTATCCACTTGAAGCGTAAAGTTGGTGCCGACACTCTCGACGGTGGCTTTGCTACAAAAAAGATGAAGCGCACGGCCGCAGCGGCCGGACTGGGCAAGAAGTTGAAGCCCAAGCACGCGGCGCGTAAGGCAGCGAAGGCCGCGGCTGAAGCTGCCGCTGCTGCTGGCAAAGGCTCAAAGAAACGAAAGCAAGATCACAGCGCGAGCAAGAAGGTGGACAAGCCGAAGGTCAAGAAGACTAAGCACAAGGACAAACAAGCTGCTCAAAAGTAGATAGAGCTCAACGAAAACATGCATTCTGTGATATCCATCATTTGCCTTTTCGTCTTTTTTCCGAATATCGAGTTCACGCTGTGAAACGAAGAGAGTGTTGGTCAGTTGGCTCGCGGTTGAAGTGGCGTGTAGCCAGCTCGATGCTTCCAACGCGTTAGAACCGCAATCACTAGTGCACAAGCAGCAGCTCCCGCTACGACACCCAGAAAGAGCAACTCCCAACTTCCCGGTGATGATTTGGCAGTTGCTGCGGTAGCTGTGTTCCTTGTTTTAGAAGCAGCAGATTCTCCGAGAGGGAAGTCGCTCAGTGCCATGTACATGAGGCTCATCACTCCAGTGTGCGGCACTGTGTTGTTATACAGAGCCACGATCCGAACGATGTCCGTTGTGCGCATACGACGTGGCGGATTGAAAGTGCACGTACTCATAGAGATGACGTATCCGTCTTCATTTCCAGCCTCGCTTCCTGAGCCGTACTGCGGTACAGAAGCACACAGTAAGTCTCCTGTGGCATCATCGTACAGCTGGATGCCCAAGCCACCGCGATGCTGATGACCAACTGCGTACACTAGCTCCACTTCGCGCTCCGGTTCTGGGGGATGCTGACGATACGCGAACAGCGGGATGCTGCCATTATCCAGTCGCTGGCGTGTCGACAGCGTGTGGACACATCCAGGATGTGTGTCTGGGTCGCACACGGGCACGTCGTACTCGACGTTCCCCATGTGTTCCAGAGCTCCCGAGGCATCGCAACACGCCGCAAGATATAGCGGACGGTTCTCTGACACGATGTCGGCGTATTCCAATGAGTAGCGCAAGTGGTAAGTGGCCTGACTCGGCCCAGACACCTCCAGCTCATTGTGCTCGAGGCAAAACTCGGCGTCTTCGCAGCAGCGCAGTCCTCCGTGGTACGTTTCAGCCGAGCACACTGTGTTCTCTTCGAACTGCAACTGAGCATTGCAGCTTCCGTTGCGGAAGTGAATGCCATTCACCGAATTATCAGTGACCACATCTTCGGCCGTACAGGGGCACTCCAAGCAGCGATGCGCACGCTCTGGCGCCATTTCACGGGTGTTGATAATGTGCACATTGGCCACCCACTCGTCCTCCTCCTCAACAGTCATAAATGCATAAGGAAAGTAGAATTCCTGCGGCGTGCCTCGACACTCGGTACCGGCACCGAAAGCCACACTACGACTGAAATTCTTCGGTTTCATGGGTGCCCAGCGACTCTTCATGGCGTCGTATTGCTTGTGCGTGCTGCCAAACACGTGATGATGGAGGTAGGCGTCGTATGTGGGCACAGGCACGATGTTGCCACTGACATCTTTCTCCACGACTTCGGCCTCAAAGCGATACACGGCGATGGGACCCTTCGGGATCGCGAGGCGGTGGAAAGCGTTGGTCACTTCCCCCTGGAGAAGTGGCAGGGGCGGTGTTAGCGCGGTGTAGCGCTTGGTCACCGGCTTCTCAGCCACCGCAAGCGAGCAGACGAGCAGCACGACTGCGAGTGACTGCAGCATTTTCACTTTGAGCCCGAGTCTTGCTTCTGGCCCGCAGATTGAAGAATGGGACGTCGATGCGGCGAAGAGGGTGCGAGCGATCATCACTCCTCGCAGCGAGGAGTGATGAACGCTAAAAAAAAAGGTCAACGTTGAAGTTGATTACGAATTCACTTTCAGTATCATGTAAATGGAGTAAACGTTTGCTATTTAGCTGCAGCAAGAAGAGATCAAGTCTAAGACGCAGGAAGCGTCTTCTAGCCTGCCTAGCAGATGGAAGAGCGTCGCTAGCAAGTCTGATTCACTCTCATGTCACTACTCGTCGTACACGTTATCCCACCCGAAGCGGTACTGAGCCACTCATGACGACGCGTTGGCCAGAAAGATTGGCTGCTAGCACTGATAACCCACCTTGTGCTTCATCGTCCTTCATGACGCTATCGAAATGAGGGACCATGTGATGCAACGACTTTTCCGAAATGGTAAAGCTGGTTGTGATAGTGGCGAGGAGAAAGTTTGCACCAATGTGATGAAGACGCTGCAGCCGATGTTGAGATCGTCGAAATACACGGAAAAACGCTTCCAGCTCTTCCGTAACGATTCGTGTCCACGTACGAACCCGCCGTTCATGTTTGATCCCATATATTGTTGCAGGAAGCGCTCACAGTAACTACGTAGCGCTTTAGGGACGAAGCCATGACGAAAGAGATGGAAGTACTCAGTGGCAACGTCCCATATTGTCCGGGTAGACGAAAAATTGTGACGCCGCACCTCAAGATCTTGAAATTTCTTCACGAAGCCTTTGAATATCCTCCTCACACTCCATCAAAAGTCCGTTTTTTTTGTTCTATAACGAATCTCTTTTTGACGACGGCGTTCTCGAACAGACATGCTGCGTTGGTGATCGGGGATAACACGAGACAGGGGTTCAGTATCTTGTGTAGCAACCGGGTCGTCGGTGTCTTCGAGGAACCGCGAACGCTTGCGGGTGCTACTCGGTTTTGAAAACTTTATCGCCGTTGGATTGATATCGCCTTTAGTGTGCAATTTGATCAATGGGTCGTCCTCTTCGAACGATAGCAGTGCTGAACCTCGTTGTTCGGGAAGTGGTGAAGCCATTCTGTCCTTCACTTTGATATTGAAAAGCCGACGGTCTCGGGAGCAATGGGTACGCTGCACCACTCTGCCTATCACATTGTCGCTGAGTGACTGGTAATTGGGCGGGTGAAAAGACCAAATATCCATCGCACGCTCGAGTGTGTCAATCTCCGACGTTAATAAACTGTGACCCAGACGCGTTCCTATTTAGAAGGTCGGTCTGAAGGAAAGGCAGGTATACGAGCCAGCTGTATAATGATGAAGACACACAATAAATAAGATGAAGAACTACTAAGTACTCGTACAGTATCTTCAGCACTTACAAATCCAGGTACTTCAAGTATTTTTTCGTACATGAGCACTTAATCCGACATGCTGCACCCAAGCTTGCTATCACTTAGCAGACTGCAAACATTTGGCTTGAATTTCACAGAGTTACAGCTCTTCTCCGTCAATGTCCGAATCCCAGCTTCGAAGTTGGTCGAAAGCAACACCTTGCCGCATTCAAAAGTGCAGCATTATTCCTGCCTTTCGCAGCTACTCTAAACCCCGGTGTGACTAAAGCACCGTCAAATACACGTGCGACGTCGCTCAGATTTCCCAGCAGGCGAAGCAGAGGCGTCAGTAAATCTGATTGACTGTAGATACCAACTACACACCCACTCTTATCGTCCCAGTCAAAGCGCACCGAGCCGCGCAAGGCAAGTGTCTTGCCGTTAAGTTTAGTGGCTAGTGAGGACAGCTCAACCTCATTACTGTCCAAGAGAGGAAATGCCCTTAGCAGCGTGCTCTTGGAAAAGGTGATTCTTGTAGTCGTGATGGCGTTTACTGAATGTGTACCAAGTTCCATGAGTCCGTTCAGTCTGACATTAAAACCGTCGAAGAGTAGTGATAGCAATCTCAAATTTTCTAGCATTTTTTCCGGCCCGTACTCGAACCCGTCTGCCACGCCCGGCGACATTGATTTCTGCAAGAAACTCATCGCGTATTCATATAGTGCTCCTCCGGACAAGCCGTACTGAAAGAGGCGGAAATACTCGGTAGCAACACCCCAGACAGTCTGCTTAGTAACTATACCGCTGGAAACCCAGTGAAGTTGGACGTTGAGATCTTCGATCTCACTCGCAAGTGCTCCCACGTCGTCCTCAAGGTCTGTCATGCGCTTCTTCTGCTTCGCTCTGTAACGCTCTTGGTTTAGGCGATGGCGTTCTCGTTCTGGGTCACTAGTCAGAAGTGCTTCATTATTCATCGAGGTGGTGTCTTTCCTTCGGGTATCGCTTGTGGCACAGCGTAAGTGCAGCGTCGTATGAGACCTCCATCGAGTTGGTCTTGCTAGTTTAGCTGCTCTTGTTCTACCAGCGTGGCCCCTCGCCACCTCACGCGTGAATGATTCGACATTGTTGACGAAGCATTTCATTTTTTGAAACTGTGCTTACTTTTTTTTTTGGCCGATGCTACAGTCCATGCGTCGACTCAGTTTATTTTCCATGTACAGTAATACTCCATGTAATGTCCATGTGTCGAAATAAATTACTTACCACTGTTTTTAAAATCCATAGTGAATGGAAGTTGTTAGACCTTCGCAAACGAAAGTCCTCTGACATCTCTCGTACATACCGGTATACAGAAGTCAGGAGGTCAACCATACGCATGAACATTAGGCGGGTCGATTCCAGTTTCAATAGAAATGAGATTGTATTAGTTGCATTATGGCTTGCTACCGTGAAGCACGAAGTGAAGGATGCGGAAGCGTAACAGCGTTAGACCAATCGGAGTTACGTCCAGCGACACACTCTTGTCTACATATCGCCAAAACCTCAACATTACGTAGAATCCGCAGTTGTATCCGTCTGTCTGGATCGGTCCATTGACGGACACAACTTTGAAGTCGTCGCTGAGCGTAGTAGCCAGATCCCACGACATGCGGTCCAGTACGTCCTTGTACGTCTTCAGGTTCATTGAGTCGTAGTACAGGACATTGTTCTGCTTGCCATCCACGATCATTGCACACCAATGCATGTTCCCAAAATTTACAGGAATGAGCAGTACATCCGCTTCAGTGAGTAGTTCCTGAACCTTTGTCTTCATTTTTTCACTCATAGATTTCTTCTTCTTTGACGCCGAGGCTGCCTCGACACCGACGATGCGAACGCCGGTGCCCGTCCTGTACAATCTCGCGCAAAAAGCCAAAATCAGCGCATCATTAGCCCATTGGGGCGGCTTGAGACGGTACAGCATCGCGTAGTGGTAATCGTTGCCGTCAATTGGGATGGTATCTTGGGGATAGGCGCGAGCAATGGCCTCTGCCATGCTCTGAAGTGTCGATTGTTGTGCTGCTGGTATGGCGCTGGCTGCATCCTGTTTTAACCATTTGGTAAACGCCATTCCATCATCACACGAACGCTTCACGTTTGCTAAGTATGCCATGGCCTCAATCTGTTCGCGTGAAAATGTTCCGATACCCGCGATGTAGACACACTCGATCTCCGGGTTTTGTCCGTTGCTGTCCATGATTTGTCCAGGTATTGTAGATGTTTCTTCGTCTTTTTGTGTAGTTTGACTCTGGGTGAGTACATCGATGGCTGTTTCATTGGTGTTGCTCACAGGCAGCACGGCAACGCACTTGTCCAACAGTTTGGGTGGAAGTAGGTAGAACGCGTTTTCATTCAGCACAGGCGCACTCTCTCTAGTGTACTTGGGTTTCTTGCTACCCGCGTTGTTGTACTTGGTTTGGAGTGGCAGAACACGACGTAGAGTGTCTTGAAGTGGAGGCTTCTCAAGTTGAAGACTGCGCGCAAGTTGTATTAATGTTACCTCTCCAAGACATCTTCTATGGGCTTCTGACTCGTTAAACAACGCTCGTTTCTTCTTGTCGTCTGCTTCTCTCTCCTTTCTGTTCAACCGGGGCCTACCAGACTTCGCAGCTTTGGGGTTCAGACGGATGTGCAATCCACTATCAGTATTTTTCTCTTCGTTGTCATCAGGAGTGGTCTCAAGCGCAAGCTGCTCCATTTCGGGCTTGGTTCCGGTTCGATTTCGGCTGGTTGTCACTGGAGAGGTCATTTCATCTGTTTCTGTTTCTTCTCTCGTGACTGGAACCTTCGTTTTTTCAACCTTTACACGTTTGCGCTGCCTAATGTTCCTCCATTGTTGCACGACGAAGTCTAAATGCTCACGGTACTCGTCGTCATCAGAGATATCGGCTAGCTCACTGCATATAGCCTGGAACGCGCTGACTGCCTCCTTGTACTTAACATTAGCGTCAAGCACCTTGTGTTTCGCCTCCCCTGGTTTAAACTCATTAAGCACAAAAGGCCGCGGAGTCATCGGTTGTTCAGCAGGATGTAACCATCTAAATGAATGACATGTCAGACCCTCAGTACAACATCAATATTGGATATTACATGGACAACTCACGGCTTATACGTGGATAAATTGTGAGTTAACCCACCTTTCATCGATGCAACTCAGCGGTATTACGCTTCCTGGGGCGTTACTCCACTTCCGAAACGCGATCGCGTGTTGACAAGGCAGACGCATTGCAGAAGCAAACGAGCAAGTGCAGCTCCACGTTTTCAAATCCACAGCATGCGTCTTGTGTTTACCCGTCACCTCCACGAAGCCTGGATTTGACTTTAAGTCGAAATTGAACTTGTCGACCTTCGAACATGCCATTACGTACTCCTTCTCCACGTGTGTTGCTACGAAATGCGTCGTAAAGCGCAAAACTTGGCACATCTCCTCGTCGTAGTTGCGGTTGACACGTAACCCGATCCTAGTCTTGTCGAACACGTATTCACTGGAAGTCCTGGCATCAGCACCCACAAGGGCCTTCACGGTGTCCGTCATGGTCATGTTGGAGTTTACCCCGTCCTTAAAATGCCCAAACCAATTCTCTAAATGGTTGTTCGTGTGGACGCGCAAATGTGCCAACCGTGAGCGTTGGTACATGACC